TAGAATTAATGTGACAATTAATTTAATTAAATTGATAGTAGAATTCCTGATAGAATCAAAAAAATTAATATTAGTTTAAATATCAATATCACAAGTATTAATTTAAAGGTTTTTTTAATTTATACTCTAAGAACATAAGTTAAGGGCACCTTTTGTCATAAATTTATATAAAAAATGTAAAAATTGACATTAATTTTAGTTTTGTTGTCACATAGATAAATTTAATTAGATATCTAATAAATAAAAAGTGAATTTTTTTACCAATATAAATTAATGACAAAAAATATATTTATTATACTCTTAGAGTAAATATTAAAAAAATACTTAATATAATTGGTTAGTTTTTAAAATTAAAGTTAAATTTTATTTTTTTACATAATTTAATAGCTGTAAAATGTATTAATTACATTATTAATTTTTTGAGATTAAAAAATTCATAGATAATTCAAAAATTTCCTAAAAAGTAATTATTAGATAATGATTGTGACTTTTTTTTTCCCAAAATTTGTAATTTTCTTAACTAAAAAGATAAGTTTTACTGTGTGTTTATTCTTGGTATATTTAATTTAATTTTAAAATTTTTCATACATCAATTTTACATAAAAATTTAATAATTTATATGAGTAACAATTAAAAAACTTTTTCTTATCACATAAAGTTCTTGTTAAATACTTTTATTTGACTAAAAAAAATTTCAATTATCATTTATAGTAAATTAAATTTTTATTTAAAATTCAAAAAATTAAAACAAAATTACTAAAAATAAACAAAAAATTAATTTTTAATTCAAATTAAATTAATAAAAAAACTTATGTATCACATTTATAATTAGAGATTTTCTAACCTCAGCAGCACAAGTTATTGAATATTTATTAGGGTATCTTATAATTATAAAAATATCTTTTGTGAATTGAATAAAAAATAACTTTTTTTTTAATTAGGGGTTTTTTTAATATTTTTTAACACCCAAAATGCATTCATTTACTTCCGTTACAGACCCCTGTTACTTCTACTAGCCCCTCCGTCTCCGGTTTTTTCCACCGTGGGGTTTTTTCTCTGACTGACTTCTCCTCTCTCCTACTCCTCACTTTAATAAGCTTTCTAGCATATTCTTATTTTTTAATGACACCAACTCCTCCACTTCAAAATTGAGTTTTTTTTTTCTTTTTAATAAGAGATGTAGTTGTATTAATAATTGAAAAACAATTACAATGCAAACTATACCTTGCCATATAAGCTAATAAGGAAAAAGAAAAACTAAGGACGTTTGACGCTAACATATAGAGTTAAGTGTTCCATATAAATAAAAACAATTAGGAATTGAAAACCTCTAAATATTAGTATATGTCATAAGGGTATAATAGAGCTATGTAATGACACAGAAAGAGAGCATTGGAGCTTATTGATGCTATTGGCAATCACATCTATTGGACCACCAACCTAGTATAGGAGAACAGTGGATTTGGCGATGTAGTATCTCCTAGCACTACCATGCTCTGTCCATCCATAAGGGAAATTAACCTGCAAGTGGAGGGAAAGGATCCCTCGGTGTGCCCTCTACAAGAATCATAGCCATTCTTGTATTATTTAAAATCACCTTGTTAGCTCATTGATCTTCCAAAATTTATCATTGCCTTTCCTTTTGCCCTGATTAGATATATCCACAGGTACTAAGCGCCCCACCTCTCAACCTACCCTTTTCCTAGATGTGAGCATAAGGAGCTTTCCAATTCCGCTTTCAACCAATATCCACATCGATGAACAATTTTCCCTCTGGCATCTTTAATACAATTTACAATCACACAATTAGATTCAATATGCCCCATGCATCCACAAACATAGCAGAATTCTGGTAGGCGTTCATATTTGATCCAAAGTCTCTTATTTTCTAAAGTCGAAATCTAAGAAGTTTTAAATCGTCATAATGACTTACCCACTTCTAAAGCAACTTTTACCCTATTAGCCTTACGAAAACTGGCATCTACTTCTAAAATCTTCCCCAAGGAATTCCCAATCAAGAGTTCAATTTACAATTCTTCTAATCTATGTCCTGTGCTAAGAATACTTTTTTAATAGTAATTGTCATTGAAAAAATAAAATTTAATATTTATTTAATCAACCATTCAATTAAAACAATGCATGTAGTATTAATGATAAAATTAATGTCAGCTTTTGTTATTTTCTATACTAATTAATATAAAAAATATATATTAATTATACCCTTAAAAGGATACAAGTTAGAT